CCAAAGTGATTCTTGGGTTGGTTGTGGACCAAGTCCTTTATACTTTGTTTTAGGGTCTCAAGGAAGACTAAACAAAGAGATTTTGTGTACTTTTGTCCTTTAGAAACCTGAAGACAATCTTGAAAATCTTTCATCAGAAAAAAATCTATTGATGATTAATGATTTGAGGATGTGCTTTTTTTTCTGCAGATGCTGTGAAGGGTGATATGGGACATAGAAAAGAGAAAGCAAAGTTTCTACCCTCCAGAAATATTTGGTTTTAAAGGAGTTAAATAAGGGATTACAGCATTTTACAGCTTTCACACAGCCCAAATGCCATGAAAAATAATACTGTAAACAGACCATCTCTGTCCACAGAAAATAGAAAAGAATAACCCATTGAAGAAATGAGACAAGAGATGAGTCTAAACTCTAGAAGGAAGAGTGTAACACTAGGACTGATGTGTTAAATGCTCCTTTTAAATTGATGATTTCTTTGAATAGCTCCTAGGTACCGATGCTAGCGTTAGCATAAGATTTTGAGAATAAAAAGGTCCCTCTGACCTAACCTCATTCCCTTTTATGAAAAGAGATTAAAAAATGTCTGGACTTAAACAAATTCGCAGTTGTTTTTGGCTCAAACAAGAGAACTCTCGGCAAGATGGCAGAATTGAGAGATGAATAGGGGGCTTATCGATGATCCAGAGTCAGCTAAACAGAAGAGTGACTCGACCTGACTCTGAGCAGGCTGGGCAGGACAGAGCTCTGGAGGAGAAGGCTCAACACTGCACTGTAGCTTCTCCAGCGGTTACTGTATCCCCACCATCCAGGCCTTTACCTCACTAAACTTGATTTCCTCACCTTTACAATGATGATAAGCATAGCAGCTGCCTCTTTGATCACTGCAAAAATTAAATGTAACAATGCAGTCAAAGTTCTCAAATATAGTAACTGTCAACCTTTTCTGAATGACGTCAGGCACCGTTGTCCTTATCATTTATGACTTGGGAGGAGGGCTCTGAAAGGCTGTCCAGGTCCTCTCTGTGGTGCAACAGGTTAAAGCGCTGCACTAAGAAGCTAAAGCCACTTCCGCATGAGTTCGATCCCCGCCTGCCCCAGAGGAGACCATAGGGTTTGATTTATATTTTGCTCACAGGTTGAATTAGTCCTTTATTTTAGTTTAGTTCCATATTTTCAATGCCAAACCAATGAGTTTTTGTCTGTCCATCTTTAAGTCTGCCTCCTCATTTGTTAGTTTTTCCTCACAGCCACAGAAGAGTGTCTAGATTTAGTAATGAGCAAATGATCAGATAGTGCCATTTATGGATATAGGGAAGACTCAGGAAATTTGCGGGTGGAGATAGGAGATAGAATTCTCTTTTGGATACACTGCAGATTCCCAAGAAGCACCTATATGGGGTTGTCAAGGAAACAAATTGAATCTTGAGGTCTGTTGTTGAGAGAACAGCTATAACCTGGAGATATTAATTAAAGAGGATGGTAGTCCGCAGATGATATTTAAAGCTACTTGGTGATTAAATCACAAAAGTGAGAATGTTACATGAGAAGAGTTTCAAACACCAAGGCTGGAAGGACCCACAATTTAGAGGCCAGATAGAGAAGGAAGAGTCTGTGAAAGATATTAAGTGAGAGTTATTGTTAAATTAGGGAAAAAAACAGAAAAATGTGGAGTTTAAGGAAATTAATGTGAAAATATTTCAAGAAAGAAAATGATCTGATAGTAAGACATCAAATAAGAATACTATAGAGTAAGAATACTACAGAAGTTTGAAACCTCTATATAAAAGTTAAGTTAGAAAGCAAGAAGATAGGAAGATGCATTTGTAAACAGTGTAACACTATGCTGATATTGATAATATAATAAAGAACATCTAGAGATTGGTAAGAAAATTTGTGCAGTCACATAAAGCACTAAACGTATGAAGATAGTTTACATAAGGACAAGGATAATATAAGGATATATAGTGATAAAGTTATGTAAGAATAAATAAATGTCAATAACTTTTAAATTAGGTAATAACCAATTTAAAAGAAATTCAACCTGCCAAATAACTTGGAAAATACAACATAAATAAGAGTTTTCCTTAATTAGCAAAATAATAAAAGATGCAGAATAATTAGTGTTGGCAGAGCTAAGGAACAGAAGCTACTTTCACACCTTGTAGGTGAGACAGCAAATAATCCAGCATTCTGGGTCAGCTTTATAGAAAATAGAACATTTTAAATGCCTATCCATGTCAGCCCAGCAATTGCACTTTGGGCAGCTACCTGAAATTCTGAGACCCATACAAGGGCATCGCCTACATATCCACAATGGGAAATAATTAAATATATTTTAATACACATTTGTTAGTAAGAAGATTGTATAATATTTAAAAAGGAATGATTTTTTTTTAATTAAAAAGTTTATTTTTACATCATTTTTCACATTTTTTTTCATCTCAATTGTAATCCCCACGGGTTTCCCATCACCAAATCACCCCTGTGCCACCACCATAGTCCCGTGCATTTCCCTCCCTTCCCCCCCCCCCGTTTTTGATCCCATTCCCCACTCCACCCCCACAGAATGTCTCATAAAAAGGAATGATTTTAAATCTAAAACTGAATTGTTGAAGACTAAGAAGCAAGGTACAACAAAGCAAATGCAGAATGGTCCTATTTATATTAAATAAAAGCAGAAGAATCTGTGCCTTGGTATGCTTTTCATAAATGCTCATGAATGCGTCGAAAAGATCACCAGCCTAGAGTTAGTTGTGGTACCGGAGACCAGGGTTAGGATTAGCAGGATAAAAACTGATTTTGCTTTTCATTGTTTCAGCTTTGTGTTTCTTGGTTTCATCTGATTTGTAGACATCCTGCTTGGGGATTGTTAAGAAAAATGCAAAATTTTCATCTATGGTCTTAGGCTAAAACAATGAATCTGGGGGGATTAAGTGTGACTGGTTAATAGCTTCTGTGTATCAGGCAATATCATGGGTATTTGTTACAGAGCAGTGACTAACACAGGCCAAATCTCTGTCTCTGCAAGGCATCCATCCTCTCCAGGAGATTCAGATTTCAAGTAGTTTTCTCTTAGAGTCTGCCCCTATTCTTAGAAGATTCCTCACCACACCCTCCTCCCACTCCTCAACCCCTGAAAAAGCCTGACTTGCTCTTTTCATGACCTCATGACCAAACAAAAGGAAAAAAGCATGGGGAACAGATCCATTAACCATTTGTGCTCTGCTCATTGAGTTAGAATCTCGTAGCAGCAGGTATAAACAGCACAGTGGTAGTAAAATAGTGTTTCTTGGCTGCCCTAGAAATCCCCAAACTCTTTCTAGGATTGTTCTTCTGGGCAATGCCCACCCGATTCTAAACAACTGACTTAGCCAACGTATTGTAGGAGCATACTCTTGTTTGTGAGTTGTCAACAGCCTGCACTCAGGCAACTGCTAGCTTAAAATCTAAAACCTAGCTGGCACCCACACAGAAGTTCTTATCCACACATTTTACTTTATGATTGGCTTTTTTATGACACTCACTAAGGCATAATAATTAGGAGAGAATGTCAGTCTAGAGGCATATTCCCCAAGACCCTTCCACTAGCAGAAATCTTAATACCAAACTAGGCTTCAGCTACAAATCTATCCACACTGGTAGCAGAAAATTGAATTTATGCTTCTGAGCAGCCTCTCAGGCAAAGCGTTCATATTTCATAGGATATTATTTTCTCTTCTTAAGCATGCAAATGAAAATCCCCAATTTCTCAGCTGCCAGCACAGCTGAATACTGTCATCATCAGAAAAATTAAATGCTTGTCTGAAAGAAGGAATTGCTCTTTAGAAATTCCTATGCATCTCAGGGCAAAGAAAAAAAATGCCATTGACAAATTCATCTTTGCTGCAGTACAAATATACTCACAACACATGGCTTTTCATGGAGAACCCAAATCTAGCCCAGGGTAGCCAAAGTATTATCGGGATTTAGAAACTGACATTAGGCCTTGTCACTGAACCTCCAACTTCAAAGTCACTCCACCATCATCAGCCTACTGACCTTGAGTAAATCACTTGACCTTTCTATGTTCATTCATATTCTGTTTCCTTCTTTGTGGGGTTCTCTCTTCCTGGGATGGCTTCCTTGATAGTGCCTCCAAGTCTCATAGTCACATAAAATGTTCTTCCCTGGCATTGTCTCTGACTCCTTTCAGCCCTTCTCCGTCTTTCTTACTCATATCCTCACTCTAGATGGTCCACACTTTCATTACATCATTCATCACATCACACTATGTATTTTATGCACACTTACCATTTTAGTTTATCACATTATTTTATGGTTTTCTTGGGGTATCAGGCAGTATCTATTATCTATTATGAAGCTAACATCAACAACATTAGGAGTAGTAGTATGTGTCAGACCCTAGATAAATACACCATCGCTCATTGTCATGAAAACTCCAAGGTGGGGATTAGCACCATTGTTTTAATGGTTGAGTGATGTGAACCAAGAGAGATTAGACAAATAGTTGGTGGTGGCATTGAGAGTCAATCATCAAGTCTATTCTATTTTCACCTTAAAGATTATGCTTTTAACAACAACCTTAAACTGCTACTTTAAGTTACAGTAGATGGCACTTCCTTAGTACCTACAAGGATGTCAGATTCTGCGATTTGTTCTGCATACATTTAGTGACGCTGATGCGTACAACAAAGCCCTCCCTCTCAGGCAGATTTAGTGATGATAATCCCAATTTTAAAAAATGAAGCAAGGGTTCAGATTGGTTCAATGAATTGCCCAAGATCACAGAAATATAGAAACTGGATTAGAATGAGGTCAGGTCTCCCCTAGAATCTATCTGTTACCTACTCTACTCTACAACCAGATGGCAGGCTTCTCTCCAATCATTGTAAATAGTGCACAGTTTTCCAAGAACAACCCCCATGGAAACTGAAAGCTGCAGAGTTATCCCTTCTGATTCATGCAAAGAAACAAAATCTAGCCAGCCCCTAGGTACTCACCTTAGCACATGTGTGGATCCATTAATAGTTGTGGTTGAACAGGGGACAGTCTGGCCCAAAATGGAAGGTCTTCGGTAGCGCTCATCATCACAGCAGAGGATGATGAGGAAGGCACGTCTGAAGGACTTATTCAAGAAGGCGTAGAGAAAGGGGTTCAACCCAGAATTGATGTAACCAAGCCAGAGGAAAGCTGTCCACACCTTCCCGGGCACAGTGTAGTCTATGAACGGATCCACAATGTTGGTGATGAAGAATGGGGCCCAACAGAGGCAGAAGCAGCCCATGATGATGCACAGGGTCTTGGCTGCCTTGGTCTCTGTCCTCATGCGGTGAGAGCTGTGCTGGTCTGAGGGCTGAGGTCTGCCCTGGGAGGGGGCTCCTGCCCGCTGTAACATCTGGATCTGGTGGGCATGCTCCTTTGCCGTGACGTAGATGCGATAATAAGCCAGCACCATAAGAAGGAAAGGAATGTAGAAGGCCACCACAGAGCAGGTGATGGCATACGGCTTGTTGACCATGAAGATGCAGTACGTCGAGTTAGAGTTGTGGTTGAACTTCCTCTTTTCTATCTGAGAGTTGGGGGAAAGCAGAGGTGAGGAGGGGAGAGGGAAAGGAGAGGTGGTAGCAGAATTGTACACAGGATAAAAAAGATGAAGATGCAAGGTATTGGTGGTAGAAAGAATAGAAAGGAGGGGATAGGAAGGGGATGACAAGGAAAAAGGGAAAGGAAAAAGAAAAGAGAGAAACTTTATCAGCTAAGGTGTTTTTCTTTTTTCTCTTATGTGTTGCTAGCACATAAAACTATGATGGAATGTGACTATATCCCAGGCTCCGAGAGCTGAGGGCCCCAGGGATGAATGGAAATAAAATGGGGCCAGAATCATTAGACGTTCTATCTGCAGAAGCAGTAGAGGAATTGTGCCTGTTTGTTCTGTCTGCACACAATGGATTTGCCTCTTAACATGATATTTACAGAAGAGCAATATCACAATCACTCCAGGTGCTTATTCTCAGTGCAAATTCCTCATTTTCTACCCAGATCTACTGAATCTAAATCCCTGGGTAGTGGAGCTCTGCCTTTTTTTAACAAGTTCTTTTTGAATCATTCTGAAGCTCATTAACTTTTGAGACCCAATTGTTGTATACCATAGAACAGTCCAGAAAGTCTAGCTCTTTGGGGATACCATGCCATCTTTCCTGGACTTGTTTCTCTGCTCATTCTGTGCTCTGTTGACTGGCTTTTCCATTTAGGCAACACTGTTTCTGAAGTACTGATAGATATAATGATATGGTCAAGGGCCACAGAAGTTGAGAAAAGAGAGTAGACATATGGAATCATGGAGGAGAGTATGTGCTCTGGGCAAGGAAGGTCATGAGGACCTTGGATTCCAACCAGAGTGTGGAGCTAGGCAATATTTACTGCTCCCGCCTACTCTCTTCCATCCTCTCCTCAGGCCACTCCACTGAAACTGCTCTGGTTGAGACAGTAAAGGCCTTCATGAGGCCAAGTCATAGTCTTCATTTCAAATGACTCATTTATATCTTTAGATACACCTGAAACTTCCATCCTTGGTCTTACTTTTCTTTGGATAAGTATTGTACTGAAGTCATAGATGTAAAATATGTAAATATTAACTGTAAATACAGGCAGAAGAATTAGTACAAAGTAAATAAAACTGTACAATCACTCTAGGCTAAGCTACAGAATATTGCCAGCATCCCAAAACCTTCCACATACCCCTCCCTTGTCCTTACTATCCATAAAGGGGCCACTCTCCTTTATCACGATCGATTAACCTTGTCTGTTTACCAATTTATTATCAATGCAATAATAAAACACATGCCCTTTGAATGTTACTACTTTGGTAATGGTGCATATTATTAAAAGTATCAGAATTAAATTATTTCATTATAGTATAACACATATTATAGGAGTAAACCACAATTATCACCCATTCCACTATTGACAGGTAGTTGAGTTATTTTCAGGTTTTCTCGATTTTGTATAGAGTTGGGGTGTTTGTATGTAGGTATATGCTTGTGTCCATGGACTTCAGTGCTCTTAGGTATATACTTAGAATGAAACTGGTGTGTCACAAGGTGAACACATCTTCAGCTCTGGAAGAGTTAGCCAACTGGTTTCCAAGGGAATTGTATAAATTCCTACCACTGCCAGGATAGGAGCATTGGAATTTATCGCTGTGGAGTGGTGTCTTATTGCGTGTCCATTCGCTGAGTGGCCATCGAGTTTATTTGATGGTGACCGTAAAACACTCCTGAGTCCCTGACACCCTTACCCGTGGGTTCAGATTAGGGTTTATCATACCCCTAATTCAGTGACAGAAAGTGTCCTGGGCATCCACATCCTTATTATTCCAGTTAGTCCTTTCACGAAGTATGAGTTTCTTCGCGTTTCCAGGTAGTTGAGACCAGAACTTGGCCTTCACAATGGTGAAAGATTGCCTTATTCTCATCAGCTCCAATTTCTCCAACTGAATCCTCAGTCTCAGTCCCAGGAAGCTGTCTCTACTGCTCTCTGCATTTCTGTTCCTATGTCTCCCCTGCCCTGCCTACCGGACTGGGATTCTGAATCAAATCAAATTTAAGTTGATCATCATAACCCTTCACATTTTTATTGTGGTGTTAATTTTAAGAATCTACAATTTTAACACCCTTTAAAAAATGTTTGTTTAGTCCTCTCTGGTGGCACAACCGGTTGAAGCACAGCACTATGAAGCTAGCTGCAGCTGCTTCAGCATGAGTTCCATCCCCTATGGCACAGCAGATCTCTCCTGTCTTGCGTGCTACTTCCCTCAGCAATGTACTTTGTCAATCTGCCTGTTTTACTCCCCACTCTGTCTCTGGTGAAGCCTTTCACTGTCCCTGCACCTCTGACCTGTACCACAGTTCTATATGCATAAACAAATAAAATGTATGTTTATCTTCCAGCATAAAGTTATTCTAATATATATAATCTTTTAAAGCCATTCTTTGATACTATCTCTTCCCAATTTTATTGTGTTCGTTTTCACATCTAATTCTACAATCCATGTGGAATTACCATTTCTGTAATAGTGTGAGGTCAAGATTAAATTTTTACCTTCTGGAGATCCAAATGACCCAGATGCACATATTGAAAGAACATGTTTCCTTGCTGCACTGCAGTGTGGGCTTAGCCATCTATCAAGGAGATGTATACACAGGGATCTGTATGTAGATTTTCTATTTTGTTCCCTTGGTTTCTTGCACAATATTGCTGTAAGTTGTATGACTTTATATCTTTATATTTGTATGAGTTAAATATCTGGTAGTAAAAGTCTTTAAACTGGCTCATTCTCCTTAAGACTGTTTTGGCTATTTTTTTTTTTATTTTACAAAAGTTTATTTTTACATCATTTTGTACATTTTTTTTTCCATCTCAATTGTAATCCTCACGGGTTTCCCATCACCTGTTTTGGTTATTTTTATATCTCATAATTTCCGCATAAGAGAATTAGCTTATTAATTTTCATAAATGTCTCCTAAGAGTTTGATTGGGTTAGAAAGGATGATTGAGGAAAATTAATACTTTAACAATGTGAACTCTTCCATGTCACAAACATGGTAATTCTCTTCCTTTATTTAAGTCTCTGGTAAATCCTCTCACCGGCTCCCCTCACCCCCTGCACCTCTGATCCAGTTCTTTTATGCATAAAATAAAATAAATATTTTAAAAATTATTTTAGCAATAGTTTACAGCTTTTGTGTAATTGTCTTACATACATTTTATTAGCTTTTCTCCTAAGTACTTGGATTTTTAATCTATTGCAAATAAACTGTGTGAAAATTTTTAATTCTAATATTATTGTCATTAGACTGTAAAACTCAGTGAAATTTTTTAATAGTGCTTATCTAGCAAATTTGTTAAATTAGTTGCTAATATTTTCTCTCTAGTGTCTTTTCAATTTTCTTCATAATATTCATGTGATCTACAAATAATGACATTTTCATTTCTTCCTTTCCAACTCAACATTATTTTGCTAACATTACTGAATTTGGTAAGACTTCCATGATAGTTTTAGATAAAAGTGGTAATAGTAAACATCTTGCTATATTTCCAGTTTTTGAAGGAGTATATTCAGTATTTTACTGTTAAATATGACTACTTGTTCCAAGTTTTTGCTCAAGGCACTCTATCTGAGGAGTTCCTGTCTTCTTAAATGTTGAGCATTTTTTAAAAAATCATGAATGAATATTGAATTTTGTCACTGCATTTTGGGGAAGTAATGAGATGATAATGTGGCTTTCCCTTCTTTTGTTTTCTTTTTTTTTTCATGAATACAAGGATCTGCATTGACTTTGTTACATTCTTGGAATAAACTTCACTTGTACTGGATACTATGCTACACACACTAGATTCCTTTTAAGGATGGAAAGACTTTTCTCCCAGCCTGAAATGCTACTGGCTAACAGCTGTTAGTCATCAGCCTTCTCTAGGAATAGCCCTTGGCTGAAGAGAGCTGTGTAACCCAAAGACAATGCCCTCCCTGAGGTCAGCTGTGGCCAGTGGCAATACAGACTTGGATAAAGATATGCTTAGTAGTGGTATACACATTTAGCAGTTTCTCTTACACTACAGCATAAAGTCAGAATACACCTTCCTATTGAATTGACATCTTTATCCTCAGGAAATAGCTTTTGTTTTCATCTCCAGTAATATTACTTAATTTATCACTGATAGGAGTACAGCTCCGCCAGCTTATTTTTGATTAGTTTGTATTCGTCTTCCATTATTTTATTTTCAATCTCTCTATAACCGTATATTTCATGGGCCTCTTTTACAAGCAGGCTATATTACATATTGACTGATGAATGAAGATATAGTGACCAGAGACTCACAGGAACCTAATCCTGTATTTTCCCTGAGAAGCAGTGATTGACTATTTGCTCATTCAGTTACTGTGGCAACTTCATAGAAGGTGATTGCTGTGAGTAAGAAGGATCTAAAGTAAATGGACTATGAACATGTGGGCTGTGCTGATTCAACGTGCTGCTGAGCAGAGGGATATGAAATGCAGTCACAACATAGTGGACCAATTGCTGGGCATCTTAATAGCAAGCTGATACCCATCCCTGGTTATCAGAAGTCCACAATTCCCTAGATTACTTTCCTTGGAAACTCTCCCTCATTAAGTATTGTGATGCAAATAAATTGATGCTTCCAAACATCATCTCCACTCGGGAGCAGTTTTAATACTAACAATTTTAATACAACACAAAATGGGCCTGGATTTACCCTGTAACTGCCCACCAATGTGACTTTAGCTAATGATCTAATCTCTCTGATCCTCAGTTTCCTGAGGACTATAATAGAATGTACATCACAGCGCTGGCATGAGGCTTGAGGGAGTAATGTTGAACAGTGTCAGGCACACAGCAAATGTTCCACGCTTGTTGGCTATTATTAGTATCATTCTATCGACATTCAGAAACTGGAATTTCCCTTTCCCAGAAATGAGAAAACTGAGTTTGAAAGAAGAGGGATAGGATTCAAGAAAACATGCAGACACACCCCTTTTCACTCCTCCACTCCCGTGTCCCCAGTATTTTTTTCAGAAGCCCAAGGAACCCTTGTCTGACATACCACATGCAAATCCTGGCCCAGCCTTGGTTGGGATATCCTTTCCTGGACAAAGAACAAGGCAAGATTAGGGGCTAGGAATTGGGTGGTGAGAGAAAGAGACTGTGCCTACTCTAACCAGTCCTGTGGGGGTGGAGCTCACGCTATCTCGCCTCTCTAGCCCCTTCCTACCTGACATGATCCTAGGGTCAGCTTTAAAGTGACTGCCTGACAACTTCTTTTAGGGATATATATCTGTGCTAATGAGTCCAGACAACTGCTTTTGATCCTCATCACAAGTTTGGTGTTGCAAATGTAGCATGTTAGAGTTGCGCAACTCTTAAAGGTTATCTTAAGGGGGGTGGCAGATGTGTCCCATGCTGCTTGCCTACACCCCTGAAAGGCACTAGTCTCTACTGAGGGCCTATTAAGCAGCTCTTCCGGAAGAGGGGTAGTGACTGATCTGGATGTAGGGTTCAGTTTTTTGACCAAAGGCTCTCTTCATTCTCTAGAAGCTTCTAGCTTCTAGATAAAACAGGGTGTCTGCAGCTCATTATGAGTCTAGAGCCTCTCAGCATGAGAGGAGATGAAGGCCTCTTAGGCATATGGCACACCTCAGGCTCCAGAGGCTGACTGAAATTTTGGATACCTGTTTCGTTAATTATGATACCTAAGACTGGGCATGTTAGCTCACCTGTTGAGCCTTAATTTTCTCATCTGGGTAAGATGAGGAAAGGATGCTGTCAGGATTTAAAATATTTGGCATACTTTCTGGCACACATAAGGCACTCAAAAAAGAGTAGCTTGCCTATTTGGTTGTTAACTGTTGCCACCCAGACCACTAAAAGAATCTTCCTTGGAATAGCCATCCAACTTGGCATTGTTTCTTTAGAGTTGGCTGATACTCACCAGATCAATGATGCCGATGTTATTCCAGCCTTGCATGATGGGGAGAAAAGAGATAAACATGGGGATGACCCAGCAGCCACCCAGCATCAGTGCAATGCGCAGAGGGGTCATCTTGTTCCTGTAGACCAAAGGTTGGCAGCAGATGGCATAGTACCTGGAGAGAGAATAGAGGGTGGGTGGCCTGGGGGCGAAGGAAGGAGGAGGGGAGAAAAACTGATGGGAGAGAAGGGAGGAGACAAAGAGGGTTGGAGAAGGGAGATAAGAGCAGAAAATTGGGAAAAAGGAAAATTGGAGGGAAAAGTAGAGAATAAAAATAAGAAGGGAAGAAAAAAGAAAACGGGAGAAATAGGAAAGAGTGTGTAGGAAGAGAAGGGAGAAAGAAGCAAGGAGATAAGAGAGGAGAGGGAGAACTAACTATTCAACAAAATATGTCACAATGGCCAAGGAGTTTCTGCTAATGTCAATGGGCCCCACAGCTCTCCTCTCCCAACTTACCTGCAAAGCCTTACTCATCCCCGAGGGTCCTGCTCGTTCTCAGGCACAATGCCAATACACTTTGGGCATGTTAGGAGCTTCTGTCCAGCTCTCTGGGCCTCAATATTCAGGCATCTGTTACCCCTTTTGATAACAAGTTGAGGTGACTCAGGTTTGCACCTCCACCTGTGTGCTAAGACTGTGTCTCTGATTTGCTCATTTTCTCTTGATCACCTACCTCTTCGGAGGTTATATGCTCTAAGTCAATGTCCCATAAATTCTGGTCTAGAGCAGCTCCCCTATATCAGCCTTATCTGAGGAGGCCTATTTAAAGTGCAGCTAGAAGGGATCTCCATATAGGAGGGACCTGGCATTGGCAATGGCGGGTATTAGTTGGTACTGTAGTTTGCTAAGGATGTCCACACTCCCTCTGGGTGCAGGCACTGCCTGAACTCCTTGTGGTCGGATGGGTCCAAGTGACTAGTGTTAGTGATAGAATTGACGTGCATGACTTCTGGCTCAGACTTCTTAATTTTCTCTGATGCCAAGAATGTAAACTTGTCACTATTTCTTGCACTATCATTTATTGCCTTTTATTTACCCCCCCCCTTCTATCAGTGCCTGGTCTTCCTAATGGGACTCCCCACTCACCTGTTTTTGAGCTCATGGTTTGCCTATGGCACTTTCTTATTACCTCCAGGTAGAAAGGGCTTCCAATTTGCCCCATGCAACGATCTAGATCCCAGACTACTCCTTGATGTTAGCCCAGCCTTGGTGATCCCTGCTTTCCTGCCCAAGCAGTTCATGAAATTTGACGACAGGCAAAATACCACAATAGGTCTCTCAGGTAATTTGCATTTCAAAGGGTCAAAGAATATGTATAAATGACAGCCTGGAGGCTAAGTACATTCTGCAAGATTTTATAGCATTTGATATAAACCACATCCTTACACTCATTTTATGCAATTCACGTTATTAATTTTCCCCACTTTTTTTCTTAAATCAAAGCATAACAATATAACAATGGCTATATTCTTTGAAGAGGTAGAGGTAGGATGAGTTGGAAGAAAGGGTAGAATGAGAAGGAAAGCTCGGTGTGGGAGCATGACAAGATGGTACCTCAGAAGTGGAAGGGGAGGATTACATCCTCCCTCCAAAGGTATCAAAGAGAAGCTGGGCACACATTTCTGGAAGCTGCCGTGGCCAGCAAGGCAGTAGCAGTCCTGAGCTGGACTAAAGTACAAGGAATAGTAGACCCAAGAATGGAAGTGGGCCTTCCTCCAGAACTCATTAAAAAATGACATGGTAGTAAAATCTGATGACAATTCAGTAATGAAAGAACTACCATTAGCTGGAATTACCTCCATGATCTTGACTTATATAAAAAGCAAGTGATATCAGTGTGGTCAGTTTTTTGAATGACTCTACTAATAAACGTTGTTCCCTTCCTCATTTCCTGCTAGAGGGCCTAGATTAGACATTTGGTGTTGTCCATTTATTGTTCTTTCTTTCTTTCTCCTGGTTCTAACATTCCAAATCCACAGGGCATCATTTGCTTTCTGTTACTGCAGTGTTGTTTGGAAAGAAAATGATGGACCCTGACTCTTCTAGCTAAGGAAATCAACCAGACCTTATTCTGGGACTCTAGTCACCATACAGTGAGACAGAGATGGGCGAGTCAGGGGAGGACCTTGGTTCCCATGGTAACCTCCTGGAAGTAGCTCCTGCTCCTTGAACAGCGAAGATCTTGTCCCTCCAGACTCATTCTCTAGCTCTTCCTTCAATACAATAAGCCATCTTCTACCTTTCTAATAAATTCCTTTTTATCTAACTTGGTGTGATAGGTTGCAGGATGCTTACTACTCATTGCTACTTCTCCCAAATCCTCAAGAGGTTAATTTTCATAAGCCACTTTAAAAACCATTCAAACATAACAACACTGAATATCAGAACTTGAAGGATCCTCAGAATTCTGAAATCTCCAACTCCCTCCCAAAAGGAAATGTATACAAGCTTGTTGAATACTTGTAATTCACCAAGTCCTATAACAGTGCACTTTGTGTTACCTTTGCAATAAGGGAAGTCTCCAAAATCCAGCTGCTGTAACTTCTAGTTTCCCCTCTAGCTTAATTGAAAAGTTCTATTTCTAATTCTTTTTCAGCACAGTGATCCCACAAACACCAGAAGAAAGTTTTTACATTCCTTTGAAATCTTAATTTCTGCAGGTGAAATCAATCTGGGGTGATTCTGTCTACCCAGGGATATTTGGCAATGTCCAGACACATTTTTTTCTTGTCACACTTGATGTTACTGGCATCCAGTTAAGGTCAGGGGTTCGCCTCAGTAACTTTAGAATGCTGACTGCTCCACATGACATGGAATTGTCTGGTCCACAAGGTCAGGTATGAAGATTGAAAAACCCTGGCTTACAGGAGATGACTTACAGGAGATGATCCAGAGGAGAGGTGTCAAGGCTTCTTTGTGTGCTCTAGAGCTATTACCAGCTAAGAGTGGGGTACCCCAAAGAAAGCACAGTATTTTAGCTCATTCTTTACATACCAGAAAAGACTAGAATATCACCTTCCACCCTGCCCACCTTGGTTTAATTATAGCCTGGGGCACACCTGAAGGTCTGACATTCCTGGGCTCCCTCAAAGAACAATGACCTTTGGGTGGGGAGGCAAAGGGATCAAAACAGGGGAGAGAAGAGCATGAGAGACTATGGTGAAGGTTCATGGGTGAACTGGTAGTGGCAATTTTATGGGGAATACACAATGATGTAAAAGATATAAATAAAAAATAAATTATAATAAAAAACAAAACAATGATCTTCACCTAAGTGATTTTTCAGTTCCAAAGACATTTACCTTGTTGACATTGTATCTTTAAGGCCTAGAAAGTGTTAAAGATAGAGAAGATGCTCCCAAAGTTGGATGAATAAATAATAAACTCTTAATCACTACCAATTAGAATAAATTCTATTAGAATATGGAATCAGGTTTTTCAAATGTAAAAGGTCGTATCTATCAGAGAGATGGGAAAAACTTTCTCCAATAGTGCCTTTTTCCTTATTTATATATATTCATTTTTATACAATGTATGCCTCTAAGGCATAGTACCCGTAAAATTCCCACCACCCAGTCACCTGTGAACTGTCAGGATAAACTCTTATGCTCTTCCTGCCCTGTTTTAATCCTTCCCCCTTCCCCTGCCAAATGTCTCAGTTTATAGTTTGCCGGCTAATTCTCTTTTTTTCCTGATCCCTTGTTTGGTTTGCCTATGTTGCTCCCATAAGTGAAATCAGCCAATAATTTTCATTTTTCTTCTAAAGTATTTCACTGAGCATAATTCCTTCCAGCTCCATCCATGTTGCTCCAAATGGCATGAGTTAATTTTTTTGATTGCTTAATAGTATTCCATTGTGTATATATACCACATCTTTTAGACTCAGTCATATATTTGGGGCATTTTAGACTCAGTCATATATTTGGGGCATTCCATAACTTAGCTATTGTAAACAGTGCTGCAATAAATAGAGGAGGGCAAGTTTCCTTTCCTATTAATGTTTTTGTGTCCTTTGGGTAGATTCCGAGGGGTGGAATTGCTGGGCAGGGGATGGAACTGCTGGCCATTCAGTAGCTACATTTTTAGTAGTTTGAAGGTCCTCTACACAGCTTTCCATAGAGGTTGGACCATTTTGCACTCCCATAGTGTCTTTTAAATTGGATTTAAGAGACTAAGTAAAGATGTTTGAGGAGAAAGAATAATTGAGTGATGTCTATAAACATTATTGACAAAGAGAAATTTTGTAAATATGTATATGAAGTACATCAATAGATATCCATATATCCACATAGCCATAAACACATAAGAGTACAAATTAATTGCATCCTAAGATACCTGTAAAGCAGTAAGCTTAAAAAAACTGGCTGAAGGGCAGCTCTTAGTAGCATCATGCACCCTCCAGTAGGTATGGAAGGGACCCAATAATTTGTATTTCTGATATGTGCCAGGTGCTGCTGCTGCTGCTGGTTTGGGATCTCACTTTGAGAAACTCTGTCTTAGAAGTTTTTGATACTATGCTAGAGGAGTCACTGCAAGTGCTCTGAATTGGAAAACATTCTTTACCATCCACACTGCCACAAGTCCTACCAAAGGAGCTGAACTGCACCAGAGTCAAGAGAAAGAGAGGTGAGTTCCAGGTGAGGTGGACATGCTCTGGAGGGAAGATGAGGGTGGCTCCTCAGGAAGAGACTGTTCTGCTAGGTCTGTTCCCTTGGACAAGGCCATTTTTCTTTAACTAGAAAACTTTCAAAAAGGGGTTACATGAATGTTCAAATGTTCCAGATGGCCAGGATTAACTAAAATGTCACAAAGGTATTAACAAAGTAAATTCGCCTACAAAACATCTCAAAGTATTGCTCATAAAGCTCCATTAAAATCCTCTTCGGTGGACCAGCCATCCGCTTCCCCAACTACTATGTGTAAATGTGGGATCAAATTGCTTTTAAATGTCTCTGGGGACACAATTTACTTTGACAACTCTTAGAAACAGTCGTGTATTTTAAGTTCCATGTCAATCTCTTCTCCACTCCTCCTGCAATTAAGGAAAATTCTTCCTCCTCAGTTCCCATCCCTTTGCCCCCAACTACAGGGAAAGCAGAAGGAGCAAAGAAAACA